TTTGTAACGATGTCCTCGGGTGTTACAGGGTTCCCGCGGATGAAATATTGGACGCAGTATGGGGAAGTGATTCAAGTGTAGTATTCGATAGGTGATAATAAGGTCAATTCTTACTCGGCGATAGGATAGTGTGTAGAGTCCGAGCCTTTCACAACGTTTTTCATACGGAAGCTTTCGTAGGGTCGGTATCATTTTAGTTGCGATATGCTGTATTTTCTCCAGCTTTTCAGTTTCCCATTGGGTTATCGGATGGTAAGCTGGGGCACCGTATTCAAGGATTGGTCTAATAGGCGAGGTGAATAGACGAGGGACGGTTTCTTCGGACCATGTAGAGAAACTGCGTTTTAATGCCCAGAGCATACGAAGTCCCGCACGGTACAATTTCTCTGTATTTTCTAGTGCTCTCAAATCATGTCGTGAGAGAACTCCTAAGTCTCTGACAGATGTGTTGGGATGGAGCAACTGGCCGTCCAAGGTGTATGATCGAGTGGCTGGACGTCTGGTGATACTGATGAACTCCGACTTGCTTGCGTTAAGAGGGAGTTGCATTTCAGTGGACCACTTTGACAGTCTCTCTAAGTCATGCTGGAGGCGAGCGTAGTCGTTCTGGTTCTCAATGATCCTCCAGATTTTCAAATCATCTGCAAACAGGGCACATGGTGACTGGAGCTGCTGCGGAAGATCGTTGATATGAATAAGAAATAACACTGGCCCAAGTACAGTTCCTTGAGGTACGCCACTGGTCGATAGGAACCAGTCTGTCAGATAGTCATTGACCTGTACTCTAAACCTTCGTCCCACAATAAACTCTTGTAACCACTGAAGTAACGTGCCACCGATTCCGTATGTCCTCAGTTTACGAAGGAGTACCTCGTGGTTCACTCTGTCAAACGCCTTACTAAAGTCGATGTACACCACGTCAACATCCTTCTGTTCATTGAGAGCTCGAACCCACTGGTGGTTTGCGTACATCAAGTTGGTGATGCAGGATCGCCCTTTCGTAAAGCCGTGTTGCGCTGGCGTCAATACGTCCACCGATTCGAAGAACGACAGCAGACACTTTTTCACAACCTTCTCGAGAACTTTGGATAATACCGAAGTCAAACAGATCGGTCTATAGTTCTCTATTTTACTCGGATCACCACCCTTGGGAAGCGGTTTCACTATCGAGCATTTCCAGTCGTTCGGGACGGATCCTTCAGAGAGCGATCTATTGAAAAGGTTTGTCACAGCTGGTGAGATGATAATCGATAGGGACTTGAGTATTAGTGGGTGAAGTCCGTCTGTTCCGGGGGGCTTTGCACCATCGAGGTTGACGAGTAGCTGATGTACTTCGACTGCATCACATTGTGGGCTGTCGAGCAAGACTTGCGCAACCTGTGCCGGTTTACTGGAAAATACAGCGATGAAGTGTGTAGCCAAGGCGTCCGCGCGCTCCGCGCTTGAAATGAGCGTCTTCCCGTCTAAGCTCTCTAAGACCGGTAGGTCACCCCCAGGTTTCAGTTGACGTTTCAAGTAGGCAAATATCCTTTTGGGTGCAGTTGTGGCCGAGGATGTTAGCTCCTCTTCGAACTGCCGGCGTTTCTTGATCTTTGCGGCGTTACATAAGTTACACGGTTTCTTGTTCACCGTATAATCTTCATCGCAACCCGGGCTGATGTATCTATCCCAAAGTTTGCGACGTCGTCGCGCTAACTGTCTATAATCCCTATCAAACCAATGCGGTTTGACAGGTCCGATTTTGGATACTTAAGGGGAACGAACCGAGTACAGAGCGAGTTAAGCTTCCCCTTTATTAATGACCACCAGGCCTCAAGTGACGCATCCTGTGGTAGTGTCCAGTCTGACTTGCGGCTTGGACGAGTCCGTTGAAGTCCGTCTTCCAATAATTGAATGTCGGCTTCTGTTGATTGCAATATGGGAACGACAGTTCTAAGCTTGCTACAATAGAGCAGTGATCACTGTCCGCCAGAGGTTCGATGATTCTGATTTATTTTAGCTTTTGCTCGCAGCTCGTAAACATTAGGTCCAGACAAGATGCCGAGTACGGAGTTACGCGCGCCGGTTGGATGACATGAAAACATGCCTGCTGATGGTAACGTCTAGTGAATACACAACCAGTAATCTTCGACTGTGTTCAGGAAGCGCTTACTCAGTTCTCATGCCACACTTAGAACATCTAGCTTCGCCAGTTGGCTGGGGCCTATGCACTCCCAGCGTCGTTGCAGACGTCCGCCGGAACGCACCCGCAAATCATCACATACACGAACGTGATCGGAGTCCACACTCGTGCTCCAAACCAAGCAGAAATTTCGGACACAACCTCTCCAGTGGCAAATGATCAGGATGTGGTCCACTTGCGTTCATGGCTGGTTTGAGACTAGTGAGCGTCATGTCACCCTACTGCGGGTGCTGTGTCGGTAGTTAGTGCTCGCGAGCAGTAGAGGAGCATCTCCATATATGCGTAGCAGCTGCTCACCGTTATTATTACAGGAGTCCATACCATGTTGGTCGCCCAGGTGCAGTTCATCAATGGACAGATTCCTAACTTAAGCGTTCAGATCACCAGCAAACACTACAGTATCCTTACATTTTCTGTATCAAGGAAGCTCGTTCAGTTGGTAATATAATTCATCTTTCACCGCTTTAGTGCTACAGTTTGTGGGCACCTAGGCCGCAATGACAAACAGGCACCGCTTGTCTGCGGCGATTTCTGAGATTAGGACGAGCCGATCTGTCTGACGACGCACATCTGGCTATTCCTTGAGATCCAATCGACCATGGCAGCTTCCGCCCGGGGACTCAGAGCAATGCCCACACCGACTTTACCAACATTCGAAGCTGCTTCATCTCCGGACAAGAGAAATGAGAAGCAGCGACTAGTGTCGCATGGTGGGGCTCGCATGGTAAGCACAGAATCCTGCAACCGGCTTTCCGACAAACCGCAGATATCCTTCAATATGATCTCAGGTATTCGGGCAAGTGCTGCCTTTTGACCAATCCACAGCAAAGTGCGCACATTGAGGCATTTTAGTCTCAGGGAGGCTCGAAGGCTCCAAATCGAAACGGATGAACTGACGTCATTCTTTAGACTGAGCATTTACTTGTCAACCGGTATGGAGTGACCTCCTGCGATTGCATGTAGGTTGAAACGAGATGACACCTATCAAAGAAAAATGGGAGACGTCCATTAATTTGGGGCTTCATCGTTACCAATACTTAGTTTTGACTCTTACAGCGCTTCACGGCATTAAGTACGTCAAACTATAGGGGCATATACACCAGAGCATGTGTTAGATTTCTTGCATTCATCTTTATTTTTGGCCTGCTAGCCGTACTCAGACGCGTCTAGTGATTTTAATTTCTCTGCCCCCGACTTTTGCTCCGCATTAACAAAGTCATGGAAATCGCGTTCCCAGGACACGGCTTGGAAGCTGTGGATCTGCTCCCAGGGGAACGACTTTCTAACTTTGAGTATGCGGACAATATTGCCCTAAGCTGTGTCAGCTCACAAACATGCCAAGCTGCACTGGCTGTCCGTCACTTCAGGCTTTGTTTCGCACCCTCGAAGTGCAAGGCGTTCCTCTAAGACTGGGCTGGACCGCCTCCTGCGTTGACCCTAGGTGGGGATCAGCTAGAAGCCGTTCAAAAATTCAACTACCTGGGAAGTTGTATCAGCGCCCGTGGGATTGAAGATGAGATCACCGTAGAGTAAAAGCTCGAAATGCTTTTGCTAGTCTTCGCCACCTATGGCGGCGGCGCGACACCACTCTCGCCCTGAAGGATAGAGTGTACAATGCAGAGGTACGTTCGACCTTATTGTACTGTTGTAAAACCTGGCGGACATAAAGAGGCTAGTTACGTTGAACAATCGGTGTCATCGCAGTTTGGCTCGCATCTGGTGGTAACACCGCGTGAGCAACAAGCGTGTTTGACGCCTTGTTTACGGCACAGGAAAAGGAACTGGACCGTTCAGCACTGTTATTTCAAGCACCAGCTCCGATGGCTCGGCCATGTGTTACGCATGCCAGCCCTCCAACTCCCGCAACCTGCGTTGTTTGCGCGCCAGGGGTGTGAATGAATGAAGAGTAGGGATGGCCAAGCGATAACTTGGTCGAGAGAAATGAAGGCCCTCATTTCGAAACTGGCCTAAGTCGGAGCGTCTCGGCTCCCTGGTTGGGTTCCGAAGGACGATTAACACGTTTGACTGCATACACTGGTTGATATGGCTGGGAGCCGACTTCATTGGCGTTCGTGCTGTGAGTTTCTTTGTCCCACCCTATCCCTCTTAACCTCCCTCTCCAACCACGATCTCATTATTTAGCATTCTATAATTTTGGATAGTAAATTATTTTTTATGCTGCATAGTAGCCGGCAGGTAGCTTACCGGAACGATGCCCATCCGTTACCGGTAGCTCAGGTGGCTTGCACCTATTGCGTTTTACTCCCTTTTTTCTTTTATGTATTGCGGCACAGTAGCGGAGGTGTTTTCCACCTCTATCTAACGCGTGTAATGATAATGAAATGCTTTGCTCCACACTTGTACATCACTATTTTCAATCATTTCCTCAGGTGGCCTACCAAGTTAACTTTCCATAACTACTTGTTTGTGTCACATTCTGGGAGTCCGTGTGTCCCCGTAGTCATCTTCATACCTTTCTCGCTTGACTTTAATAGTCTCCAATGATTACCTTATTTATTTACTTATTTATTTATTTCACCTCAGTATCTGATCTTCCACATCGTCCTTTCATCCGATTAAGTTTATTTTCGTGACCACTCTCTCGCAGTAGTCAAGTCGCACGGGTCTTTAGCCGCTGCACTTAGCGCGTCCCTCCACCTGCCTGTACTTGCTCTATCCCTCACGCATATGTCGGCTTCTGGTTATTTGCTAACACGCACTAATTATTGCGCTTAAAATGTCAATCACCATCTTTACCTGTTACAGCAGTACCGTTCGTTATATGCGCATCACTCCCTAATCTCTTGTTGATTGTCAGATGCACCATGGTGCGGTCATTGCAAGCAGTTGGCTCCCATTTGGGATGATCTGGGTAAAGAATTCAAGGGCAGGGATGATATCGTGATCGCTAAAATGGATGCAACGGCCAATGAAGCTGAAGGACTTCGAGTAACCAGCTTTCCGACATTGAAGTACTATCCCAAAGGAAACGCTTCAGTAAGGGGGATTGTGAGGAAAATAACCGTTTATTAAAGTGGTTGTTCTTTTCTATTACGTGTTCTGCACCAACCTGATTGGGGTTGATCATATGTGCTTTTCATGTTAAACCCTCTTAGTTGATTCCCATCTCGCTTGCTGAACAACCTCGTGTTGCCAGCTGGGTGGTTCGGGATTTTCCCGTTTCAGCAAATGGTTCGGTGGCAGTGTTTCAGGACGCGGTGGGTTTTCGCCTGGAAAGCGTTCTCCCTATAAAAAGCCACATATGTCCGTTTAACAACACTGTGACGTGGCGCCACATACCCCCCTGAGTTTGTGTTGATTTGGTAAACCTCATAATTTACTGGATCATCGTTTCCTTCGTAGTAACCTTCGGTCACTCGAATCACATTGCTGATATTCGAACTTGACATTTCCTCTCTGTTCGCCGCACCTTTTTCCGCTGCACATTCTCAACTGCGCTATGTGACTTTCGTTTATGCCCCTGGTTACAATGCATTTGGATGGGCTTCGCAGGTCACATACAGTCTGATGGTTTTGTTCTTCTTTCATTGTCTTGCTCCGTTAGTAATTTACAAAATATTGATACATCTGCATTCATGCTTTTATTTCATTCCCTTCTCTGTATCTCTACTTCATCCGTTAATGTGCTGGACATAAATTCATCTACCCTATCAATATCTCATCTTAAGAGCTGTTTGAATCGCAATTGGAATTTTATAACAGTTGGGTAGCAGTTTCTAGCCTCACAGAAGTCGGATAGAGTACACATTGTTAACGCTTCGCGGAAGGATGAACGGCCATATAGTGCTTTTCCGAACTTGTGATGGTCATCTGACTGCGTTCAAACGCGATGAACGTCCACTTAAATCATTTTACCCCCCCCCTACTAATTCCTTGTAAACAAATCAAAACGACGTGTAATGATTCGATTTATTCTGATAATGATTTACCCCGTCCCGTACATGGCAATAACATGTAAGGGGTGAGCGGCGCTATATCCTGTCTAGTAACTTTTCGGTCTGCACTTTCCAAACGGACTGGTGACGTTAGGGTTACGACTCTAGCGTCACAAGGGTCAGATCGAATGCGCAGCGCTTACGATTTTCGTAAGGATATAATGATCTTACAACGCTTTTCCGGACGTCTGATGGCTGAGTGTATATGCGATGAGGTATTCCTTGTTTATATTGTGCTTACTGTAAACCGTTCTGTCATTTATTTAGCACTTTTACCATCATGAGCTAAATTCCTTCTTACCTTGCAGGTTATCGATTATAATGGCGAGCGCACTGTGAAGGCCTTCAAGAAATTCATCGAATCTGATGGTCAGATCGGGGAATCAGAAGAGCCGAGCGAAGAGCACGAGGATGAACCAGCAAAGAAAGACGAATTATAAATGCCTACAACCCTCCTTAGTTTCATGTCGCTTACCTCATTCGGTGGCCGCGTGTTCGTGTTTTTCGGTCATCTTTACTGGTGCTAATCTTTTTCATCCTTGTACAAGTTCGCAGTTGGCTCCTCGATGTACGATCCTATGTGATCCTGCCAATTTTTCTGGATATCGTGTTCTCAACAATGTTTATACTTCATTGAACGTTTCGTGGAGGTCACTCTGTCTTTTGAACCAATGAGGTTACCAATATTCTTTGTTCTCAGTCTATGCCCGACACCACTAATACTGGGCGATATTTAGGGTAACTGGTTTCCAGCTTTGAAGATGTATAAGTTATACTTCCCGTTTCACTTAAAATTGCAATGTCCTTGCGTACCTTTGACTCACTTAGTTGTACTGGACTTTTTTTCCTTCCAATAGTTCTATGCGCTTTTCTAGGCTTACAAGTCGGATGTAATTTAGCGGCATTCATTTCTGCGAACTTGTCCAATCTTTTGGATCACTTCCTTGTGAACAATTTACGTGCACCATATTCCAACACCACAGGCCGCCTTCCGGTCTACGGTTACTTATCAGATATCTTCACGACAACAAATGACATTTATCAAGGGTACATAACTTCTATCATTGAGCGTTTCCTTGCGGAATCTTACACTACAGCTTTGAGATGCTCCCTGGTGCATAACTTGCTGATCTTGATTTGGCGGACGATATTGTCTTGCTGTTTAACGACGTTGGAGTGGCCCAATCAAACCTCGATAACCTATGTAAAGTAGTCCCATCATTTGGCATACGCTTCACTCTTGATCTTTGGTAGAGAAGTGCTCAAGGTAGTTAATTAATTCACCTAACTAAGCAACTACATGAACAACGATGAGCGCATAAACACGTAGGTCAGTTCACGCGTAACGAAAGCTTGAACTGCCTTCTTGCATCCGCGACATCTGTTGCGTCACAAAGTCGTTTTTTTCGAGCTGAAAGACTATGTTTACAGGGTCGAAATGGAGGACGTCCTACTCTATTGAATCTGAAAGTCGGTAATCTAAGTAAAGTAGACAGTTACCGGCCGATTTATCTGACCTCCGTTTTGGTCAGAGTGCTCGAGAAATTCGTTGAAAAGGATTACTGTGGCCGAAAAACCTCCTGACTATCACAGCACAGCTTCATGAAGTGCCTACTGTTGACGCGACATGGATGGTTGGAAGCGTTGAACCGGAGGAAGTCAGTGCATGTGCTCTACACTGATTTCAGTAAAGCGTCCGACAAACTGAACCATGAGATCCTCTTCAACAAGCTGAGGATGTGTGGTGTTGGTGGCTCACAGCACCACTAGATCAGGGACTTCCACATTGGGCGAAAATGGAGAGTACAGGTGGATGACTATCTCTCTTCCAATAGTGGCGTACCACAGGGCACAGAGCTGTGGTCTATTTTATTCCTGATCCACATCAACGCAGTAATTCAGTTTCTTCAGTCGCTTTGTGTCTTATTCGCAGACGGACTTAAGGTTTGGTGAGTACTTGATGTTCCCGACGACTGCGATTTACTTCAGCATGACCTGGAGTGCCCGTCCACGTGGTCTGCGGAGCTCAACTCCCGTCAAATCGTCATATATGTGCCTGGGCAACAGTTGTGACTTTCGTACGTACACTGTGGCCGACCAACCGCTACACCTCCCAGCTTCCTTGAAGGATCTCGGCGTACTCACGCACTGCGATCTGACGTCCGTAGATTACACGGACAACTTATATGGACACGGACTGTGCTTATTTTGGGCGCCCAAACACTTTCAGCACTTAGTTCGAGGAGATTATCACTGTTTCTTCTCTTCCATCATAAAACCGATGCTGGAGTATGGATCACCTATTGTTAACCACATGTGTGCGAGGTGCAGAGACGGAAACGGGTTCAGCATGTAGCTGACAGACTCATCCCAATTTACAGGGTGCCGTACAAAGACTGATGCAGACGATTAGGGCTGTACACGCTGCCATGTCTTCGATTTCAAGTGGACCGGTTATTGCATCTGGGTCACATCCGCATGCTGAGGCCACTACTGCACATGAGAACGCCAAGCAGTACCGGCGACTACCGGTACAATCTTGTGGCACCGGACCTAAATCGGCTAGCTCAACTTCTTTGCTTCGAGCGACGTGTAGTGAAATATCGGAATAGTTTGCCTGATAGTGCTCGAGGCGAAATCGGGTGTCCAATTCATAGGTACCCACTTGGCGATCATCTCAGTTTTAGGAAGCGCATCACACCTGAGTAGGCCCATCTAACTACGATGAATCAACACAAGTTTATAACTACTATATCTATATTCGGAGTGTTCACAATACTATGATAGTGAGAACCGGCCCCCTAGAATTGAGGCGCGTTCAAGTTCTTGATCATCGCTGCTTGTGAAGCATTACTGATGTCGGATGCCACCGGCATTCCGAAAAGATGATGTGCGTAAGCGGGTACTAGGCAGTGCTAATCAGGCTAGTTCCTTAGAACAGCAGATGGCACTGAATGAGTTGCGTCGGCTTAGCCACCTAGTACGTATTCCCGGTAACTGCTTACCGAGGAGCTCCTTGTTTTGTTTGCCAGATGTAGAATGACACAAGGCTCGAGGCAGACAACAGTTTACTTGGTAGCCAGAAATGAAGATATTCACTACAAATCACATTTTCGCCTACCCGACCGGAGTCCACACACCTGTGTGGCTTCTGACCTTACAGGACTCGGCTCGCGGTCGCATCTGCTGTTGTCTCCCAGTCGGACTGCCTTTTGAAAGTGTGTTTTGTGCTGTTATTTGCGGGATAGTAGCTGATTATGACACGGAAGTTGTCTTGCCGATATCGCCTTTAATTTGTCCGATAGCCAGATGTTTGGGAAGGTATGTTATTCACCTAGTATAAACGCCCTGGCCCTGAATGTTTTTTTACGGCTCTAGGATTTGTTACTAAGTCCCTCTTTTCTTCCTGCTCTTATTCTTCGGATCACCGTAGATGTGCGCCAGCGAAGCATCAGTACACCTAACTGATGTACTGTTGTTGTTGATGATGATTCCTTATGAGCAGTTGCTTGAATTAATACCATTTTCCGGAAGCCTTAGCCCGCAAACATTCGTGTCTACCACGGAAGGTATCCATTTCACATTTCACCGCCCTTCGCGTATGTTCAACACCATAAAATTATATGCTCAAAACATGTCAGCGATTCGCTTCTCTTGCAGTACTTTTGCTCCCGTCGACAAAATTTTTCGAATGTAATGAGAGTGTGCTATGTAGTAGCTGGTCGTCAAGGCTGTATGTTCGGTCGTCACCACCCTTGTCTAAACTTATGAAAACTATGGACTTGAATTGTTTGACCGGATGGTGGACATCTGCGAATCGCATGGAGGGCGACTGAGGTCTTAGTGAAATAGTTCGTTGTCATCGGAAGTGCAAATCACTCTACAGTTTTAGGTCGTCTGCGAACATGGCACACGGTGGGCGAAGCAGCTGAGGTAGATGGTTGATATAGATTAGGAGCGATGTAGGCCTCAATACGGCTCGTTAGGATTTGCCAGTTGTAGCGGAATACTAGTCGGTTAGATGGCTGTCGACTTGTGTGCTTCACTTTCGTCCACTGGTGCAGTGAGCCACCGAAACCGCACACTCAGCCTGTGGAGGAAGACCTGATGGTTCACTTTGTGGAACGCATTAGTGAGATCGATGTGGGTTACATCGACCTACTTCCTCTGGTTCACTGTCTGTAACCATTCACGCCTCGTCACGAGCAGGGTGATAATGCATGAGCGATGTAACATGAACCGATGCTGTGCATGTGTCAAGAGCTTTTTTGACCGGGACAGTTGTAGTAAACTCTTGTTCGCAATCTTCTCGGCTTCCTTGGCCGAAGTAGGTGTGAAACAATTGTTCTGACATTGTCTGCTGTGTTTGGATTCCGACCGTACCATGGAGCGTTTAGTTAATTGGTAACGATACTTCGGACAGCGACGTGTTGACCAGGTCAGTTACCGCAGGCGAGATGATGGTCGATAGGAACTTGAGAATTATTTGTTGGAGCCTGTCAAGTCTAGCAGGCTTGATGTCGTCATGATTGGCGAATAGTCGACGCACCTCGAACACTGCAATCCAGACTGTGGAGTTCGGTAAGCGCGGTACACGAGGGAGCATTGCCGACACGGAAGCAAAGTGCGCGGCCAACGCGGAGGCACACTCATTTCTGTCCGTTTGAATTCTCTGTCATTGGGAGGTGAAATGCTGGCTTTAGGCGCCGCTTCATGTGAACAAATACTGGTGTGGATGCGTTAAGTGTGCCTAGTAATTGCGTTCGCCTGCGACTGCTGATGCAGGGCGACATCGAGAATATCTGATTTTGTGATCTGTTCTTCGCCGAGAGATCTGGCGGCCGTTAGATGATTCGTTGAAACAGGTGTGATCCACGCGGGCGAGATGTGTGTGTTGACAGTCGGCTGGCGTGTTGCGAGAGTGGGGCTTGATGAGATTCTTTGTGTGCTGTTAGTGCGATGGCACAGCGTGGTAGGGGTTATTTTGCTGTCGGGTGTCGGATCCTTATGGCACTCACTCGGTGATCATCGGGTAGCATGGGAGCAGGGATTGATCGCCGTGCTTGTTGCTGGTGGTGGGTTGTTGTCGAATATCAGTTCGGAGTGTTGAGAATGCGTGTGATGGGTTGGGTATCGCGAGATTTTGTTGCTGACGGTTGTTGATTTCAGCCTGTCTGGAGAGTACAATGTGTTGTGTTGTGTTGTTGATTTGATCGTCTGACAGATGATGGTGTTGTTGTTGGTTGTTTGCGTATGCGCGCCCGTCGTATTGGATTGGCCGTGGGCGTACCTTCGGTTGTTCCTTGTATTCGGGCCACAAAGACTCGCGTGTACAATCTGCATTTGCTGTGCTTGTAGCCTGCGATGCGTGAACCAGCATGCGACAGTGTGTGTTGTGGTTCTCGACGTTTGAGTGTGTTGTGTATTGGTTTTCTTGACGCGTGTATTGTTTCGCTGTGTGTTGGCGTGGTACGGTCTGTTGTGTGTGTACTTGGTTTGTCTGGTCGATTGGATGCTGATGTTGTCGCACCGGAGTCAGCTGTAACACTTGGTGTTACAGCGTTACAGGCGTGCGAGAGTGAATTGCGGCGATGTGGTTGGTATGCCAAGTTGTTGGTGCACTTGCTGCGTATCG